GGGAACCAATTGTGAATAGGATCTAATATTTTGTAAATTGAAAACTAAATCAATCAAATACATTTAATTAATAATTTCCATAAAAATAAGTTCTAGGCAATTCATTTTCTTTCCATTCAAATTTCATGCTCGCAATCAAATGCACCCTCGATGTGTTTCAATTTTTAAGAAGGTGCGCTAAATTGTGAACTATTTTCACTGGCAGATAAGTACATACCAGCCTTTCCATAATAGCAAATCAAATTCGTGTATATCTTCTCATCTAATGGTATACCCATGCTTCGAGCCACATTAAACATCTCCATCGCCTTATCCAGGTTTCGACCCCGTCCATACACACTGCATCCACCATGAATTCCTCTAAACAAATTTGCTAGAAAATCTTTCTTCATGATTAATTTCTTTTTGGAACAACTATCGGAAAATCATAATAACTAACCTGATCATCAAGGTATATGTCTGAATTGATGGGGAACTATTCCCAAAAAGCATGCGCTCATATATGCTCACCGCGAAACGTAATTTACCTGTGCCATTAAACTGTCATTCGATTTCCAAGATATATGGCCAGACAAATGAATGACAGAAAACAAAAACGATGTCTACCTGCTTCTAACATTGTCTTTATGAAAGTGTTGTAAGCAACAGTATCAAGCTCTGTATTGGTCTGGAAACTAGTATAAATAACATCCTCGGCCTCATGATATTTACCTACAAGATGATTGTTATCAATATTCAAGTGAAAAACCGTGTCAAATAAAAAAAACCTCACAGTATATATACCAAACTGTAGTAACGACTAGTCCTTAGGATTTCAAGTTCTCAAGGAACGCATAAAGCAATAAGTGGAATTGAAAGAATAAAAACTCAAAATCATGCAACGGCTAAGGAATACAAAGTGCCGGTGTCAGGTAACCATGAAAAAAAATACTGCGGTAAACAGACAATGTAATTAAGTAGATTGCGTTGAAAGTTCCCAGCATTTGCAGCAGTTCTTCCATTAAATATAGTTTTGTTCTTTTTCCAATCTAAACATTTGATAAGAAATATCTTCAAGCTCAAAGATTTGGCGCAGTCTATTAACAACAATATTCAGGGATAAGCCCAGAAAAATAAAGGAAAATCATTGAGCGAGATCCAGATTATCAAACAAGAGACGCAAAAGGTCTCCCCATGTCACAAGGTCTTTAGTCATTAAAGTTTCTCGGTTCACGTGATAAGGGAAAGGAGGCCCATTACTGAAAACCTCAACATTAATTATTAGGGTAATTAGCATTAGGTATAGATGATTCGATATAAAAAAATTTAGAACAAACGACTTCATATATAAAAGTTTTAGAACAAACAACTTTATATTCTTATCCTAGATTTGGAAAACCTACATGAAAGAACAGTGAGAATCTAAACATAATTTATCGGTGCAAATACTGAAAAACATAGAGAGCTAAGACACTGGTTGTAATACGCAGAGTTGATAATTTTGAAGAATTTGTAATTTTCAATGACAAAGCAGCTTGTAGAGTAAAATACTCGAAAATGCTTAGATTTCCACATTTCTTACCTGATTTTGCCAAAGCTTTTACTAGTA